TACATGTATACATATGTATGTAGGTTTATGACTATCAGGTCTTTTCTTAGTACCGAAGGTTAAAGTCAACATCTCCTCTCCCTGATTCAAAGCAATCTCGAGATGTCAGATTACTGTGAGAGAGTAACAAAAACAATTTTGCAGCCTTTAGAGCAATTTTGAAAGTTTACAATTTTCTAAAACTACATACAAGACTTTGAGAAAGCATATAAAATGCTAATGTGATAAGCATTATATGTGAAAGCATATAAAATGTTTATGTGATAAGATTGATTAGAAGGTCAGGTCTCAAGCAAGCAATTAGAATTGACACTTGAAGGCAGATTTAATTCTTATCATATCAATGTAAACTATGTACCCTAACAAAAAGATTATGTTAACAAAAAACTGTATAATGATATTAACAAGTTTTGATATTTAGAGATAGAACACTGAGAGTCACGCTAGTTTTCTTGGTCACACCCACGTGGACTATTCTGCCAGCCAAAAATATTAAAAACACTGAATTAACATTTAATATAACTTTGAAAAGATTAAGTCATTTACCAGAAACAAGTTTTGTGCCACAGAAAAAAATATAATTAATTTAGGTAACTTTAAACTAAGTAAATTCAAGTTCTCTTCATAACAGCGTCTCAACAGCTACTTCATAACACACAAGTACTCTCTTCCTACACGTCCATGATTCCTCCAATCTCTCAAATGCTCAGTTCTCAGGGCTCAAGAGTTCCTAAAGCAAACAAACCTGCACGTTGTGAGTGAGCGAGAACAAGACGCACAATTTTCGGCTGGCCCTGCCATTATATAAGCCAATGCTGTCACAGTTAGCTTCTTCCCCAGATTTTGCAGATCATTAATATTCCTGAACTTCCATTCAAACTTGAAGCAGATTGGCTTTTTCACCCAGTAAAAGGCCAATTTCTCTCCCAGCCCCCTTACACCACAAAGAGGTGAGAAAAGGTGAGCACAGGTGGTTGAGGGATTCACTTCATGGCTTTCCAACAACATAGATGCATTCCTTAATACAAATTGGATAAAGGGGCCATAAAGAGCCAGCTGGAGACCCATACAGACTCTTGTTCCTCCAGGTGCTGATGCTCTGTGTCTCTAGTTTAAACGGCTTTGCCTTTCTCTCTTAAAATGCTATAAGGAGGAAGTTACCCAAACAGCCAGAGCTACCAGGAGCAACCTCCACAGCCACCATTATCACCATTCCCACCTCCTACTTGCCTTAAGCACCAGTGCAACCGGTCCCTAAAAATGCTGCATGAAGTCTGTATGTTTGTGTGTGTTATGTGTGTATGTATGGCAGGGTTTGAGGGGGCAGGGGAGGAAAGAAGCACAGGATCTTCTGTTTGCATCTTTCTAATACCAGTCCCTACCCCTAGGTATACTTTCTCATGCCAGACTTCAGGAGAGAACTTTAAAAAATAGCAGGGGCTGGCCACGTGGCCTAGTGGTTAAGTTCTGGATGGTCCGCTTCAGTGGCCCAGGTTTGGTTCCAGGGAGCGGACCTATATCACTCATTGGCAGCCATGCTGTGGCAGCGACCCACACACAAAACAGAGGAAGAGTGGCACAGATGTTAGCTCAGGGCAAAACTTCCTTAAGCAAAAAGAGGAAGACTGGCAACAGATGTTAGCTCAAGGCAAATCTTTCTCAGCAAAAAAAAAGAGCAAAATACACTGCTAAAGTAGCATTTGGTTTTCTAAGCAAAGCTTCAGCCCCCTGCACGCAAGGCAGAACCACCAAGCCTGGTTCCTCATTAAACAGAGTCTTTATCACCAACCCCACTGCTTTTGCCATCATCTGACTGGTGCCAAAAAGTTCTGATTTACAAGCTGGAGAGTCAGAGGAAAGAGGCTTTAAAAGGTTTCAAGGTAGAGAATTTTTTTTTTTAATGAGCATATTTAGATTGTTATGAGTCAAGTTCAAAATTCAAGTCACATAAGAACAATTTTTATAGAGGGAGGAGTAACCTGATGTTCAAATTCATTTGCCTCCCATTTTGAAGTAATTCATCTTTAAAATTTCTGTGAAAATTCTAGAGAGGTGCCCAGAAAATAGCACCAACCATCTGTAAGTAAAAACAAAAGCTCTCTATAGTATATATCACAGGTTCAAAGCACTTTGGCATCGGCAGATTGAACACGTTATTAAAAGAATTTAACTGCAAGAAGAGCTACCATAATTACACAGCAGCTGGTCTAATGTTGACAAAACAACTTTTAAAGGCTTTCAGAAGCCTTAAAGGCTAATCAATTAAAAAGGCATGAATAGTAATGTGCATCCTATCCTTAACACTGCAAATACAGTGAGGTATGCATTGTGGAACAATCATTTCTTACATCCTACAATTAAACCGAACACATGAATAAATTCTAAGTTGTGTCTAGGTAAGACTATTATACTTAAAATAAAATAACTCCATAAAAGTCAATTATAAACACTGAATTTAATGAGCATTTCCATACTGGCAAAGTTATTATCAAAATGCCAACAGCTCATGCCAGAATTTGCACTTACTTTACCAAGAGCAGGCAGAGAAGTGTTTCAGATTATTGTCCACCTTGGCTAACAACATGCTGGAGGCATAAAGAATGACTGACTGAATGAACGAATTAATAAATGAATGTTGGAATGAGTTTGTACACTGTATCCAAGGAACACTGACTTAACCCCCATGAGATGTGCCCAAGTGGTCACGTGGAAAGGCCTCCTCTGCCAGGACCAGCCAGTTTCCTTCAAGGGCCAACTGAGAGGCCATCTCTCACAGGAACCCTTCTCCACACTCCCCACAAGGCTTGTTTCTTTTTGGAATCCCTTACATTCAAAGAATTAGAAAGGATTTTACATATCACTGGATCCATCCTCTTTAAGGCCCAGCAAACTTTTTCTATAAAGAGCCAGACAGTAAATAAATCAGGCTTTGTGGGCCGGAAGGTCTCATCATAACTGCTCACCTCTACCACTGGAGTGTGACAGCAGCCATGCACAAGAGTTAAACAACTGGGCATGCCTGGGTTCTGATAAAACTTTATTTACAAAAGGAGGCAGGGAGCCGGATTTGGCCCACGGTCAGTAATTTGCTGACCCCTGCTCCACCAGTTTGAGTCTTCTCTTTCCCATTCAGAGTCCAGGAGTCTCCGTGGGGACCTCCAGTGAAGGGAGCTAACGCCCTCGCAGCAGCCTCTTCTATGTTCCGAAGCTTGCCCTTCCATTGACTGAAACGAATCTCCCCACAACTTGCAGCCACTGTCACATCCTCATCTGCTGCTCACCCTGTCCTCTCCCTGCCCAGAGCACTCTGCACAAATAGGCCTTCAAAAACCATTCCTTCAATTAAAGAAAATACCGCCAGTTTTGCCTTCTGGAGCCCCAGAGAGTGAGTCTAATACCTCCTCCACCTGACGGCCCTTTATGTGTTTAAGACAACTACGGGATAAGGCATTTACTGTCTGCACCACTCATTTGGGATCTATCTCACAGCGTTTTTATTGTTAGTTTTCTTCTTCCATGTACACATTTTTTTCCTCCTCGTTTAGATGGCAAGTGAAGCATAGTCCCTGGCACATGAGCTCCATTTAGTTTTACGAGTGAGAGTGGCAGAAGGACCACAGAAACATCAATCAACAAATCTTTTTAAACACCTTTCTCCACAAATTCAGTGGGGACTGCTCCTGAGACAGGAGGTGGACGGCTCATCACGGCAGCAGTAAGGCTGCTAGTGTGTGGAATTCTTCAGATGTAAAAACTGATTGTTGAGAGGCAAAAGGCTTCCTTTCTCTACCTTCTAGCACCCACCAGGATCCTGCAGTGTAATTTTAATGTGGCACACTCAATAACTCCAACGTTCCAACTGAGAAGTCTGAGGCTGGGCCCACTGTCTGTCCTGGTCACACACTCAACCCTTCTTCCTGGCCTTCCAGCGGCCCTATCTCAGTCATTTTAATATCCTGTGCTATTTATCCCTCTCCTTAATAATCCTCATCACAGAGCAATACACACACTGTTGGTATTTATGCAAAAACACATAGCAGGCCTTCAATAATCCACTCAAATTTAAGAAATTAATAAAACCTTAAGAGTGCTTCTTATTCACAAGCAATCCTCTTCAGGGTAAGAAATTGGGTCCCTCACAGAATTCCTACTTACAAGACATTAGTAAAATGATTATCTCACAATGTTACCTCAAAAAATCTATTCCCTAGCACAAGTGTCTTTCATAATCAGTAATAAAATATTCAAATATTTAAGCAGGCTATTTTTTAATATCAAGGGTCTTTAAGACCACAACAATGACCTCATCTCATTTAACATCATTCTTCCTTGTTATATTCCTTCTCCCCACCCCCACGAAGGACAGGAGGGAGATATTTCACAAAGTCCTGTACTATCTCCAGTCACTAGAAATAACTGTGACTGCTGTGTCCATATGTGAAAGATTGCTTGTGGACACTCATCAGGGTAGTGGAGAGGCCCCAGCAAGGGCAGGGTGGGCATCTGCCCACCCCGTGCTCCAGAAAGCCCAAGACGAGCTGTCAGCCTAGGCTGCACTGTCCAATACAGTAGATACCAGCCACAAGTGGCCACTTAAATTTAAGTAAATTAAAATTAAATAAAATTAAAAATCCAGTTCCTCAGCTGCACCAGCCATATTTCAAGAACTCAATAGCACATGTACCTAGTGCCTATTCTATTGGCCAGTGCAAATATAGAATATTTCTGTCACCACAGAAGAGACTAGAAAGTTCTACTGGATAGGGCTAGAGGGCCCACCGTGCTGCCCACTGACTGCTGCTCTCTAGCCAACACCTGGGGGTCTTGACCGATAAACTGACAAGGCCTGCTGGAAATGTACTCTGTACCTCCTTGAAACCCAACGAAAAAAATAGGGATATGGAAATGTCACACCTGATTATGCCAAACAATTAACACCACATCGTTATAAAAGCATTCTTTAAGTAAAACGAACAAAGAAAAACATCATTTGCTCTTACCTCAGGGAGTTCTGCCAAAATCCTGGAGCTTTTGAAAATCCATGAGAAACTTTTACACAGAATAAAAACAAGACTGGATTCTCATCTGGATTCTAGTAAAAAGGACGGGGAGAGAGAACACGAGGAAAAATCTCTCTAACCATTTGTTCTATAGACGGCATCCTTTGTATTATTTTATGAAGTTCATTTTTGCTTTAATTTTCACTTTGCATCAAAAAAGAACGTGGGGTTTTTTTTTCTGTATAAAATACGACTCCAAAGTCCCAGGGAAAGCATTAAAATACTTACGTGCCTTAGATTTATCACCAGGAAAGTAAAGTTATTCAATAATCTGCCTCTAGGTAGCACAACATATAATTTTTTTTTCAGGTTTACTGAAATTGCCATTTCTCGAAAACCCAAGAACAAGAAAAAGTTGCTAATAAATTTTACATTTCCCACATAGTTACTTTAGAAAACATAAAATTATGAGAGGAACTAAATTCAAATTCCAGGCTGCTTTCTGAAAGATGAGATGACCTCCTCTATAAAGTCTGTGAAACATCTGTTTTGATAACACATGTACTTAAAATTCCCCACATGTCAGTTTCAAGTTACTATAAAATATAAGGCAGCACCAGCTGCAAGGATAAGAAAGAAAAGCTGTTAGCAAAGTGTTGGGAAATGTTCAAGATTTTAATGGGACCCAAGTCTCACTACATTTGCATATCATCCTAGGAAACAGACTGAACAGAAACTGGAAGTCCTACCCCATCCATGTGTGAGAAAATTTTGCCGTGATCTTGGAACGTTCTCTCTCACTACCTTCCTGCTAAGAGACTGCGGTGTGTTTAATTCTGGTGCCTTTTAACCAAAATGCCTCCCCACCATTATTTCTACCCCTCCAAATATTACCCATCTGCAAAGACCAGTCCAACTCTCACACTTTCCATGAAAATTGCTGCATCTCTTGTAGTCCACAAGTTCCGACTTCTCTGCATTTATAGCAAATACTAAAGGACCCATACGACTACAACTTAACTGTCCTCACTCTGCTCTGACATGCTGATGCTGATCTGATCTCCTCACACCTGTGGATCTGCTCCCATTTCATTTCTTTTACAGAGATAATAAAGATCCCCAAATTATATCTTCCCTGAACTGATATTCGTATTCCCAACCATTTACTCCATATCTCCATCTGGAAGCCCAAGAGACATCGCAAATGCAAGGTGTCTGAAGCTGATCTGATCCTCTTCCAAATCTGCCCCTACTCAGCCTTCCCATCTCAGTAAAAGACAACCCCACTCTTCCAGGTAGCAGACCCCAACACTTGGAACCATCTGTGACTCTGCTTTCTCATTTATGCCCCATATCGTACCCTTTTGGAAATGCTGTCTCCTCCACTGTTTCCAAATAGACAAACAATGCCCCTTCTTACCATCTCCACCGCAACCACCTGGGTCTAAGCCAACATCATCTGGATTATCACAACAGCCCCCTTCAACCTTGCCTGCTCCCTCCTATTATTTGTCCTCACAGTGGCCAGTAATCTTTTAAATTATACATTTAACCAGGTCATTCCTTGGTGCAAATTCTTCCAGTGGCTCCCCAAATCATTCAGGTTCTCCGAAGGAAGGAAAGAAGGAAGAAAGGAAGGAAGAAAAGAAGGATGGAAGAAGGGAGGAAGGGAGGGAGGGAGGAAGGGAGGAACGGAGGAAAGGAGGAAGGGAGGAAGGAAGGACGTCTTTACCATAACCTCTAAGCCCTGCGTGATGGACAGCCTGCCCCCTTATGTTTTTGACCTTTTACTACTCTCCCCTGGCTTACTCCACTCCTGCCACTGGTCTCCTTGCTGTTTTGAGAGCAAGTGTGACACGATGCCACTGTAGCACCTTTGTATTTCTGCCTGGAAGGCTCTTCCTGCAGAGGTCCCCATGGCCCTCTCCCTTACCTTGTCCAGGTGCTCATGTGACACCTTCACAGTGGGGTCTCCAGGACCACCATATTTAAAGTTACCAACTGCCTCCCACCCACCTCTGACACTCTCTCTCCCTCCTCCCCACTTTAGTTTCTCCATAGTGTTTATCACCATCTAACATATGCATATTTTCTTATTCATTTATTTTCTGCCTCCACCCCTTTAGAATGTAGGTTCCATGAGGACAGGGATCTTTGTGAGTCTTTTTCACTGCTTTATCCCCAGACTTTTGCTGCTTCCATTCACTATTGTTTTTCTACCTTGAACTGTGATTGGCACAAGTTGGTCCTCAAAGATTTAAAGAGAGAAACAGAGAGGGAAGCCAATTCCAAGTTCCATGAGGACAGTTGCCATGTCTTACCCTTCCTTTTTACACCTCTGGATAGGGCCCAGAAAAAAGTACTTGTTGCTTGATTGTTGCTGTTTGCATTGGCAAATGTAAAATATTAGGTCATTCAAATTGTTAGGCAAGTTAAACGTAGACAGCGTTGATGCAATATTAAAAGATGTAACTATTTTTTAAAGATTTCAAAGCTATTTAAACTTAAGCTCATAATCTCTATTCAAGTATGAACAATTCTCAAAATCATCAATAAGAGATAGTTTCTCAAGTCCTGCCAAAAAAATGACACAAATACTTGGCCAAAAAAGATGAGAAAGGAAATCTCAGTACTGTCATTTACTGGGTAAATTACAGCAAAGAAAATCAACATGCCAAACCCCAAAACAAGACGTTTGAACTCTTTTGCCATTAGGTGGATTATTAAATGGACAGGTGCTTTTAATAAATCAACTCCACATTGTCAAACAATGATGTTGGTGTTGTTAGGAAATTATGGAAACCGCAGGAACGCAACAGGAAAAGGAGGAGCCTTTTCTCTCCGCCCTGTGAAAAGAGAAGGGTGTAAACCCAGTCATGTCCCAAACAACTGGTCTTTAATAAAGGAGACTTCCCGGTCAATAAGTCTGAAAAATGGCTGGGAAGACTCAGTCTTTCTACACATCCAGAGTGTTGCCTATAAAACATCAACAATCAAGTACAGCCAAACGCAAACTAGATTCACGTAAGATGACTTGAAAATTATGCAGAAAGCTTTACGGAAATCCTTCTTCCATAAAATGATTGAGCGTTCCCAAGGGGCAATGCTGTAACATGCCAAAACAAACCCTGCCTAGTGGTTTTACGGCACCGAGGTTCAGTCCCATAGAGAGCATCTCAGTCTGACGGGAGAGGACTCAGGTCTCTTCCAAAGTTTATTGAGCTTCTGCAGCACAGAACCAATCACATGGATCATCTGTTATGTTTTTAAAATCTGTACAGAAATATCTAAGTAGAATTCTTTTATCTGTGTATCTTTAGAAACAGGAAACTAAACATTAAACACTAATTAGCATCATGTGTGGGGGTTATTAAAAACTTACTTTTAATTGTTAAGAAAAATAGTCTTGTATGCCAGGTAATGGTTACATTACTGGCATGACAGTGGTGAGAATTATAGGAAGTACTGCTCATTAACTAATCTTCTCATTTATTCAGCAAACACTGACTGAGAAGAGAGAATCTCCGCTCATCAAATATCTACCGAGCACCTACTCTGTGCCAGGGCTGGCAAAGAGTGATGAACTAACACACCGTTCATACGTTTAAGGGAACAGAAAAGGCGGCCTCTAAAGATGAGAGAGCTGAATTCAAAAACTAGGGCACAGCGTGGTTTGGAACCCTCGTCAAGACAACTCAAGGAGGTGAGGACACACGTGACCTCTGAATCAAGACAATATTACAAAACATCTTTTATCACTTGGGAAAAATATAGTTAGCAATTGTTCACCAAATTTCAAAATTCAAGTTAGAGTTTAAAAATATAATTGAATGTATACAACTAATTCCTTTTTTTTTTTTTGGCTTGAGGAAGATTAGCCCTGAGCTAACATCTGTGCCAATCTTCCTCTGTTTTTTTGTATGTGGGATGCCTCCACAGTGTGGCTGATGAGTGGAGTAGGTCCACGTCCAGGATCTTAACCTGCGAACTCAGGCCGTGGAAGCGGAACACACAGAACTTTAACCAGTAGGCCACAGGGCCAGCCCTAATTCCAATCTTTTTAACAAGACAAGAAAAACTAAACAGGAATATTGATGTTTCATCAGAGATAAGCTTGAATTCAAATAACAGAACATTTGACAAAGATTCTTAATTTTAAATAAGGGGGGAGGATAAATCACCTTAGAAATAGCATAAGGTATTAATTTAATTCTAAAAGGGAAATTATTATATTTTGGCTTTTGTATCCTCACATTACCTAATAAATTATTTCTTTAAAAAGATATAAAGGAAATCAAATTCACAGCCCGCTGTAAATTGTCTGCTGTAGATTACCTGTAGGTTACCTGTAGAGACTCAGATTACTCTAATTTCAGAGAATTCATAAAACGCAATGATAATATTATGAAAAACAGCCAGTGTCAATCCTTTCTCTTTCTAACCTAAGAGATTACAGATGACCACTCTGTATTCCCCCACCCCCAATGACCTCTGGAAGCGGAGCTATCTCAGGAGGAGGAGGCACAATCCAGACTTAGCCACGCTGTGTCCCAGACGTCTATACCTGCCTTGACTCCCTCCCAAGAATACCCAGCTTTTACCAGCATCTCGTCAAGCAAAGGGGTAATCTGGCAGGAGCCACACAGAAAATCCAAGATGGGTGTTGGTGGCACAAGGTGTAATAAACGTCTTCTGTAATCCTGAAGATGAAGGAAAGAATAGTGCACATTTTCTATATATTCAGTATTCATCTTTGTCATTGTTATGCTATAGCTCTTGATTAATTGCACTGCTTTGCTCAGAAATGCCTCTGTCAGAATAAAATCTGGGTCTTTTATAAATTGTTCTTTTCTGAAATATTATCCCTTCTATTAATATAAATGTTTCAATATTTTTGTTAGGTGGTGTGTGTGTGTGTTTGGGGAATTCATTATTTGTGCTTTGACTGCCTGTGACTTGATGTAGTCTAAAACATAAAAATAAAGGGGAAAATGCACAGCTTGCAGGTTTGCACTATCTTAATGTTTTCTTCTCTTAAAGCAGACGCAGAGATTTTCTAACAAGAGTACATTTTTGATCAAAAAGGTTATAG